TTTTTTTTTTTTTTTTTTTGCTTCAGCGGCGTACTATAAATTAATATAAGAAATTTTAGCATATTTTTGTGTTGAAAAATATTGATTTGGAATTTTTTTTCAAAAATCCGATAACTGTCGGATATTTATAAAACTTTCAGGAGTTATTCACAAATAAATTACATTAAATTAATTTAGTATATATATATATATATATATATATATATAAAAAAAATAAACGACTTCCGGTAAAATAACCGCCAAATAGACTACCTACAATGCACCACCGTCTCGTCTATATACATTGCGGAGAAAAATAACAGCACACGTGGCCTAGCAATTGCGTCTAGCATGAAACAGACTGTCGCCTCTAAGTGTTGATTCAAAGTTCACTTATATATATATATATATATATATATGAAAAATATAGGTTTAAGTTATGTTATATTTATGGGGTAAAGTGTGCAATATCAGAGAGGGGGAGAGGGAGAGAGTGCGTATGTAAATATAAAAGAGAACATTGAAGTCAACACTCAGAGACGACAAGCAAACGCTATTATCGGGCCAATACAATTTCCAATTAAAAAAAAACATGTGTTACTATTTTTAACCATATACAATAATTTTCTCTTATTTAAAGTACATAACGACTACTTTTGTGGCAAATTTAAAACAATACCAAGAGGTCCCCTAAAATTTTCAACTGTATGCTGTATATATATATATATATATATATATATATAGAGAGAGAGAGAGAGAGAGAGAGAGAGAGGGGGGCTACAGTTGAAAAGTTTGAGGACACATCTGGTAATGTTTTTAATTGGCCACAAAAATAGTTGATTTGTACTTTAAATAAATGAAAATTATTATAAATGGTTAAAAATGTGAGACATTATTTTTTTATTAGAAATTTTATTATGACGAAAAGACAAATAGCATTTTAAAATTGAATTTTGCTCTCGCCAAAATATCCTATTTTAAGACATTTTTTTTATGTTTATACGTTTCTTTTTATAGATACAAATATTTAAGTAAATTCTCTGTTTACAATAAACAGTATTAACAACATTTACCGGCCTGAATGTCCGAGAAATTTTCATAAAAAATATACGTCCTCCGACATCAGCAGGGTTAGGGTTAAACAAAATATATGGCCTGACCTATCTTTCAATGAATTAGTATGGAATGAATTGGATTGGAAATTACAAAGAGAATACTCAAAGAGTGAGAGTGAGATTTTCATCGCTTGAAGAATACTTGGGAAAATTTTATATCGGCATGGTTAGGGTTAAACAAAATATATAATCTCACCTCTCTTTCATTGAATTAGTATAGGATGAATTAGATTGGAAATTACAAAGAGAATACACACAGAGCGAGCTTTTCAGTGCTTGAGAAATAGTTTGGAAAGTTTTGCATCAACTTTTTTTTTCAAGAATTGTTGGAAATAATGACTGGAATTTTTTAAGCTGTAATTAAGCCAGGTGATGTTTTTATTGACAAAAACAGAATATGATGCTGTCACGTTTTTTTCTGAAAATAAAAGCACATAAGTAAAATAGTAGTTAATAAAATTATATATAAATTATATATATGATAAATAGTTACAAAATAGAGCTTTATGCTATTGTGGTTAAAAGTGTTCAGTATCAGAGACAGAGTCTATGCAAATATCAGAGTGGAATCTATGGTCAGGAGCAAGCGGCAACAATCTGCTTCCTGCTTGAATGTAATCTTCAGGCCATGTGCGTTTCATTCTGGGTTGACTATATTCAGAAGAGTTGTTTATTATAGGTTGTAAACTCTATGGTAATATACGAAATGGCTACGTTTTAAATTATTCTACAGGCTTGTCGGAATAAGCGTATGTAGTAGTTTGTATTTAATTCATAGAGTTTCTTTAACCTTCATTCATTATTAATTATTTGTTTTTTTTAATATTACTATTTACATTTGTTATGTGTTTATTCGTAGATTGTTGATTTTGTTTTATTATTTACTTAATCTGTTTATTTGTTTGTTTAGATATAGACATGTAGCTATGAACAGACTGAGATAGATAGATAGATAGATAGATAGATAGATAGATAGATAGATAGATAAGCAGGAAGAGACTGATATAGATAGATAGATAGATAGATAGATAGATAGATAGATATGAAGAGACTGAGTTAGAGAGAGGTAACTGAGATATATAAACAGAATTGACATATATTGAGATAGATAGATAGATAGATAGATAGATAGATAGATAACATATCTGTCTCGTTCTGTTCATATCTATCTATCATAACTATTTTGAAATTTTACTTACATTGGCAGATATATAAGAATAAAGTGAGATAGATAGATAGATAGATAGATAGATAGATAGATAGATAGATAGACAGACAGATAGATACATAGATAGATAGATATGAAGAGACTGAGATAGATAGAAGTGACTTAGATATATAAACAGAATTGACATATTGATAGATAGATAGATAGATATGAAGAGACAGACAAATAGAGAGATAGACTTGATTTACTTATATAGACAGAATTGACATATATTGATAGATAGAAGTGTTTTACATAGATTTATATATATCTATATATATTTATATATATACATATTTAGAAATGACTGGTAGAAGTGACAGATATATAGATAGAATTAACATATATATATATATATATATATATATATATATATATATATATATACATATAGAGAGAGATAGGTAGAAGTGACTAAAATATATAGATAGAATTGACATATATATAGATAGATAGGTAGAAATGACTTACACATAGAGAAAGAATTGACATATATTGTCAGATAGATGGATAGATAGATAAATATGAAGATACTGAGATAGATAATAGATAAAAGTGACTTACATATATATGTATAGATAGACAGATATATTTAAGTGTTTTAGACATACAGATATAATTCACGCACACACAAATATATATATATATATATATATATATGTGTGTGTGTGTGTGTGTCTCTGTGTGTGTGTGTCTGTGTGTGTGTGTCTGTGTGTGTGTAAAGATAGATAGAAATGTAGATAGATAGAAGATATATCGATAGAACTGACATATATTGACAGATACATAGGATTGGTATAAATATAGAAATCGATTGATAGATAGATCCAAATAAAAGTGACATAGATCGATCGAAATAGATAGTGATAGATAGAGAGAACTGACTGATATATATATATATATATATATATATATATATATATATATATATATATATATATGTGTGTGTGTGTATATAGATAGATAGATAAATAGAACTGACACATATATACATATTGTATATGTATATATATATAGATATATATATAATAATTTGACATATATATATATATGTATACATATAGATTTAATTATATATAATTTGACATATGCATATATATATATATATATAAAACATATATATATATATATAGTTGATGTTTATTCATAAATTATGTTATCTATATATCTACATATATCTTTCTATCTATATATATATATATATATATATATATATATATATATATATATGTCGATATATAGACATAACATAATTTGCGAATAAACATCAACTATATATATATATATATATATATATATATATATGTCGATATATAGATAACATAATTTACGAATAAACATCAACTATATATATATATATATGTCGATATATAGATAACATAATTTACGAATAAACATCAACTATATATATATATATATATATATATATATATATGTCGATATATAGATAACATAATTCACGAATAAACATCAACTATATATATATATATATATATATATATAGATAGATAGATAGATAGATAGATAACATAATTTGCGAATAAACGTCAACTATTTTTTGGGAGAACGGAATTACTCTTGTTTTTTTTTAGGTCCCTCTCTTTAAACATTTAACTGCCACCCCCATTATATATATATATATATACACGTGTGTGTGTGTCTAGTTGTAATTACAGAGGGCGATTTGAACAATATCCACTGTCCCGTTATTATCCTGTTTATCTGCGAAAGTGTCCGCTCTTCTTTGTCTTAAAACAATTACCCCCAAATTATAACAAGTAAATAAAGGCGGAACTCTCACGAAATTATTCTAACTTTGTTTTCTCAACTCATTTCTTTCTTGTTCAATATCGACTTTTATTTTCCCTTGTCATCAAAATGGACACATTTTTATTCATTTTTCTCTATCTCTTCTTTGGTCTTTTGGGGTTTTTTGTTGTTTTTTTTTCAGTTGGCGCGTAATTGCTATCTCCAAATATGCTAACACATAAAATTTACTCCTTTTTTTTGTGCGTGTCTTTTTCGATAATATTCTTGTGTATCTGTGTTTAATTTTTTGTGTGTGTGTGTGTGTGCGTGTGTGTGTGATGGGGGCGGTTATTACTTTATGAGGATGTAGATTCGTTTAAGAACGCACCAGACGAAATAACATTTAGTCGTATATTAAATATAACTCTGGTCGACAACAACAAATAGCAAAAATAAATAAATAAATATATGTAAGTGCCCACACTACTTTTTATCCATTTTTGAAGTCGACAACGACAATGACGTCAACAACACCAACAAATACAAAATTCAGAATAAAGCATAATATCCCGTCACTTCAGAAGTCCGCGTTGCTTGGCCCTGCAAATATATCTACGATATTTGCTCGCCCTTCTCTTAGTCAGTAACTATGTTAGCAGAAGCGTTATGCCCTGTGACTTCTTTCTGTGACTTGTCCCCTCAGGGCGTAGATGTTCATGGCTCTCCACAACGTCCTCTCCTTTGTAGCTCTTTAACTGTTGTCTTTCTGTTATTTCTCCTAAATTTTGTCCACGCTATGCATCCTTTTACGTCTGTCCCTCTTGCTTTTAATCTGTCCTGTGTGTATCAGATATTCCTAGACCCCTTTTCTCGTTCTGTACCTCCCCTGCCTAAGAAATATAATGAACCCTTCCGTTTTTACTAGTAGGAAAGTCAAAATAAAAGTTTTTAGCGTGAAGGAGAAAGTTTACCTAATAATAAAAAGGGGACAATTCTACGTTGTATAATGATTAGCAAGCACCTTTCGTTAGATCAGACACGACTGGGTGGTGAGTTCAAGAAGCGTGTTGGTGCTCTACACTATCGGCTTTCTGCCACATCTAAGCTATGCATAGAAAATCATTTAGGCACCTCGAAGCAAATTACAACGGAGTAATGAGTTCGATCCTCACTGGTGGCCACGGTACATACGGCCTTGTAACTATTACAACACCAACATAATAAGAAGAACAGAACAATAATATTACTAAAATAATCATATAATATTCATCGGTACCATGTCATCCGTTCTTTTTTCTTGCTATTTTTATAATCGGAATCACTCCAAGCGAAAAAGTCATGATATTATAATAACATATATATATATATATATATATATATATATATATATATAAAAGCATAACTCTGAATTTAAAAACCCTATATATATATATATATATATATATATATATATATATATATATATATATAAAGCATATATATATATATATATATATATATATATATATATATATATATATATATATATATATATATATATATATATATATATATCACAAACCATAATTTAAAAAACCCTATATATATATATATATAATAACTCTGAATTTAAAACCCCTATATATATATATATATATATATATCATAATGCATAACTCTGAATCTAAATCCCTATATATATATATATATATATATATATATATATATATATATATATAATAACTCTGATTTTAAAACCCTATATATATATATATATATATATATATATATATATATATGCCATAAAAGTAAAACTCTGAAATTAAACCCCTATATATATATATATATATATATATATATATATACTATATATATATGTATATACCATAAAGTATAACTCCTGAATTTAAACCCACTCTCTCTCTCACTCCTCTCTCTCTCTCTCTCTCGCCCAGTCTGAAAAAAAACTGAATGCTAATTTCCTCGAACACTCAGCCTCATGAGCCATATACCAAAACTTACCCGGACACTGATAAATTGTTCTACTTGTCAGGATCAGTACGGAAATAGCACCCCCCCCAAAAAAAAAACAGTGCGACAATAGAGGAAGGATTTATATTCAGAATCATTTCAGCAGAAGTATGTTCACGTTTGATAAAGAGCATAAACAAAGAAACCTATACTGCCACCAAACCGCCTGCATACGGATAGAACATTAATCCAGTAAATATCCAAAAACAGAAAAAGGTGTAAGACAAGGATGTACCTTCTCGCCGGACTTATTCGAAATATACAGTAACGCAATTCTAAGAGCATTCATTGTTGGCGGCCGCAATCTTTCAACGTGAGATATACAGATGACCTAATGCTGATAGCAGATACAAAAAGGAAACAAGAAAACCTATAGAATGTAGAGAAGGAAAGAACGAAGAAAGGACTAAACATCAATTACAGACCGATTGTATGCATGGTTGCTAGCAAAAGGGAGAGCCCAACATGCAAATTACAAATCGGGGATACCAAAATGAAACAAGTTCAATAATTTAGAAATCTTGGAAGTCTTTTAACAGCAGACGAAAAGAATTATTCAGAAACTGAACTGTTACATTATAACGACCCTCCTATAGGACAGTGAATGTTGGACTATACCCTCAAAGACGAAGAAGTGAATTGAGGCAACAGAAATGTGGTTCTACAGGAATATGCTTAGGATTCCATAGGCCGAAAATGTGAGTTTTAGAGAAAATGGAAGCAAAAAGTGCACTTATACTTGGCAACAGGAAAATAGCTTCTAGGGTATACAGTGAGGAAAGACGGCTTGGAAAATGCAATACTCAGAGGACTAGGCTTGGAGAACAGAGGAAATAGCTCATAACCTACCGAGAGAGCGTGAGTAAATGGATGGCACAATAAGGTTTAAGAGAGACAAGAAAATACAAAATGCATTAAAAGGACAGGAAATTGCGTGAATTTGTTTTTCTGGTGTAAGTTTTGAAGTAGAGTGTGGAATTGGTTGATATCACCCCATGAGGATTTCCAGAAAATGAAGCAATCATCTAAGTATCTTTTCCAAGATTTAGTGAGCACGAGTATACATACATACATACATATATATATATATATATATATATATATATATATATATATATATATATATATATATAAAAAGAAAGAACAGCAAGATATATAATCTGGTGTTCTTATAGATAATTTTATTTTTACAAAATAGCGCTCAATGTAAATTTACAGAGCATTAATATTATAAATTAATTGATTTAAAATATGTTTTTTTTTTCGCTACACAGTTCTAACCATGTTTCAAAAATGGAAGCTAAAAGCCCCGAATTTAATTTTTGTGATTAAATTAAGACATTAGTTCCATTTCATCCTCAAGTGAATTTTGGAGTAACTTTTTAACTTGAGGATGAAATGGAACTAATGTCTTTAATTAATCACAAAATTAAATTCGGG